AGGGCCAGGTGGGGAGGTTGGGTCCACGGCCGGGACCAGAGGGACAACGACAAACGAAAATAAAGGGTCCAGGGCGAGGGGGACTGGGGACAGGGCCGTTGGGGGGGAGGCTGGGTCCAGGCCCTGGGCCAGCGGGGCGAGGGGAGCTGGGGCCAGGACCAGGGGGGAGGTTGGGTCCAGGGCCAGGACCGGACCAGGGACGACGACGAGCGAAAATAAAGGGTCCAAGGCGAAGGGGACTGGGGCCAGGGCCGGGTGGGGGGGGAGGCTGGGTCCAGGGCCAGGGCCAGCGGGGCGAGGGGGGCTGAGGCCAGGACGGGGGGGGGAGGTTGGGTCCAGGGTCGGGACCGGACCAGGGGCCGGGGACGACGACGAACGAACGAAAATAAAGAGGTCCGAGCTCTAGAGCACACCTGTGCAAGATAATAAACTGGTCGGGGCGAAGGGGGCGGCGCGCTGGGCTGCTGGGGAGAGGGGGATGGGGGGGGGGGCGACGACGACGCCGAAATAAAGTGGTCGGCGGAGAGGGCGGCCGCTGGGCTGCTGGGAAAAAAAAGACAGGGGGGGAAAAGACGACGACGCCCGAATAAAGTGGCGGGGCGGGAGGGGCAGCCGCTGGGCTGCTGAGGAGGGAGACGGGGGGGGGGGGGGGGGGGGGGGGGGGTGGGGGGGGCGACGACGACGCCGAAATAAAGTCGTCGGGGCGGAGGGGGCGGTGCGCTGGGGTGCTGGGGAGCGACACATAGCGACACATGTCGACACAACGCCGAAATAAGGCGACGACGACGCCGAAATAAAGTGGTCGGGGCGGAGAGGGCGGCGCGCTGGGCTGCTGGGGAAAGCGACACATGTCGACACAACGCCGAAATAGGGCGACGACGACGCCGAAATAAAGTGGTCGGGGCGGAGGGGGCGGTGCGCTGGGGTGCTGGGGAGCGACACATAGCGACACATGTCGACACAACGCCGAAATAAAGTGGTCGGGGCGGAGGGGGCAGTGCGCTGGGCTGCTGAGGAGAGGGAAAGGGGGGGGGGGGGGGCGACGACGACGCCGACATAAAATCGCCGGGGCGGAGGGGGCGGTGCGCTGGGGTGCTGGGGAGCGACACATAGCGACACATGTCGGCACAACGCCGAATAAAGTGGTCGGGGCGGAGGGGGCAGCGCGCTGGGCTGCTGAGGAGAGGGAGAGGGGGGGGGGGGGCGACGACGACGCCGAAATAAAGTCGTCGGGGCGGAGGGGGCGGTGCGCTGGGGTGCTGGGGAGCGACACATAGCGACACATGTCGACACAACGCCGAAATAAAGTGGTCGGGGCGGAGGGGGCAGCGCGCTGGGCTGCCGAGGAGAGGGAGAGGGGGGGGCGACGACGACGCCGAAATAAAGTCGTCGGGGCGGAGGGGGCGGTGCGCCGGGGTGCTGGGGAGCGACACATAGCGACGCATGTCGACACAACGCCGAAATAGAGTGGTCGGGGCGGGGGGGGCAGCGCGCTGGGCCGCTGAGGAGAGGGAGAGGGGGGGGGCGACGACGACGCCGAAATAAAGTCGTCGGGGCGGAGGGGGCGGTGCGCTGGGGTGCTGGCGAGCGAGACATAGCGACACATGGCGACACATATCGACATATAGAGACATATATCGGCACACACACATACACACATCGACGCATAGCGACACACAGCGACACATAGCGACGCACACATGGAGACGCATAGCGACACACAGCGACACATATAGCGGCACATGAAGGGCACAAGGCACACAGCGACACAGATAGCGACACATGAAGGGCACAAGGCAGCTGGGGGGGAGCGACGACGACGCCGAAATAAAGTGGTCGGAGCTCTAGACACCCTGTGCAAGAGAATAAAATGGTCGGGGCGGAGGGGGCGGTGCGACGCCGAAGGGCACTGGGCAGCCGGGGGGGGGGCGACGGCGCCGAAATAAAGTGGTCGGGGCGGAGGGGGCGGTGGCGACGCCGAAGGTCACTGGGCAGCTGGGGAGGGAGGGGGGCGACGACGCCGAATAAAGTGGTCGGGGCGGAGGGGGCGTGCGACGCCGCAGGGCACTGGGCTCTGGGAGGGGGGGGGAAGGCCACGACGACGAAATAAAGTGGTCGGGGCGGCAGGGGTCGGTGCGACGCCGAAAGGGGCAAGGGCACTGGCAGGCTGGGAAGGGGGGGGGTGGGGGCGACGACCGCCGAAATAAAGTGGTGCTGTGCGAGCGTGCGGTGGGGCGACGCCGGAAGGAGCAAAAGGGCATCTGGGGGGGGGCGACGACGCGAAATAAAGTGGTCGGGGCGGAGGGGGCGGTGCGACGCCGAAGGGCACTGGGCCGCTGGGGAGAGGGGGGGGGGCGACGACGCCGAAATAAAGTGGTCGGGGCGGAGGGGGCGGTGCGACGCCGAAGGGCACTGGGCAGCTGGGGAGGGGGGGGGCGACGACGCCGAAATAAAGTGGTCGGAGCGGAGGGGGCGGTGCGACGCCGAAGGGCGCTGGGCAGCTGGGGAGGGGGGGGGGGCGACGACGCCGAAATAAAGTGGTCGGGGCGGAGGGGGCGGTGCGACGCCGAAGGGCACTGGGCAGCTGGGGAAGGGGGTGGGGGGGGCGACGACGCCGAAATAAAGTGGTCGGGGCGGAAGGGGCTGTGCGACGCCGAAGGGCACTGGGCAGCTGGGGAGGGGGGGGGGCGACGACGCCGAAATAAAGTGGTCGGGGCGGACCAGC